TTCCTTCCTTCCTTCCTTCCTTCCTTTCTTTCTTTCTTTCCTCTCTCTCTCTCTTTCTTTTTCTTTCTTTCTTTCTTGTAAGCTCTCTGCCCAATGTGGAATTCTCAACCCCAAGATCAAGAGTCACATGCTTGGGGCGCCTGGGCGGCTCAGTCCGTTAAGTGTCTGCAGACTCAGCCTGCTTCTGTCTCTTCCTCTGCGTCCCTCCCTCCCCCCGACCCCGCTCGTGCGCTCTCTTTCTCTCTCAAATAAATAAATAAATCTTAAAAAAAAAAAAAAAGGTCACATACTCTACAATTGAGTCAGCCAGGTGCCATTTTTCTTTTTCTTATTTTTTTTTTTAAGGTTTATTTCTTTGAGAGAGAGCGAGAGAGCAAGGAGAGGGGCGGCGGGGGGAGAGTGAATCCTCAAGCTGACTCCCTGAGGAACGTGGAACCCGACTCGGGGCTCAATCTCACGACCCTGAGACCATGACCAGGAGACCACAGTGTGAGTGTAAACCAAAAGTCGGCCACTCAACCGACTGAGCCACTCAGGCGCCCCCTCAAAGACCCATTTTTCAAATCCTAGCTTTATTTCCTCAAGAACAAAATGGAGAAAACACAACCTACCTCTTAGAATGAGTGTGAAATGAAAAAAAAAAAAAATGTGTGTAAGGGCCCCATAGGCACCCTTCTCCAGTCAGGGGGCCCTTTCAGATGCAACTCTCCCAAAACCCAGTCCCAGGGCCCCAGCCTTAGGGCTAGAAAGGAGCAGATGCCGCCCCCTGGTGGATATGTTTGTCACTGACTGATTCCTGAAGAAAAGTGGAGGAGTAGAGGGGAAGTTATATGCATGTAAGTTATATGCAGGTTCCTTTGCCTCCTTCTGGAGTCTTCCTTTCAGACAGAGCCTTTCCTGCAGTTTGAGACTGGGAATGAAAAATCTACTCTCTTCAAGTTTTTCTGTGGAGCTGAGATCAAATTTAAATGAACATGATTGGAAGGGCACCTGGGTGGCCCAGTAGGTTAAGAGTCCCAGCTCCGGGCTTGACCTCAGGGTCGTGAGTTCAAGCCCCGCATTGGGCTCCATGCTCAGTGTAAAGCCTACTTAAAAAACAAAAACAAACAAAAAACATTATTTGAGCAGAAAATCTAATTTCAATTACATTTCCCATACTGTTACTGAAGGCCTAACGACAGATGCAGAGGAGGCTGAGGCAGGAGGAAGCTCTAGGGCAGGGAAGGTTATGAGCTCAGTGGCAGCCATGTTTGGGTGTCTGTGAGGACGGAT